TGACTAAATATTCAGAAGTAGTTCGTCACTCCGTCTTCCTAGTCTGTCTTCATCTGGAAGTTCATCTGAAATCTATCCACCATTGGTGACCCAGCTGGTATTTAAATACTGGTGACATAGCTTCCAGCAATTTACAAGCCACCACAGTATGACAAACTGACAGACAAGTGGTGGCTGCAAAGATTAGGAATAAAATATTGTAGGAAGAAGGGGCACCCAGTGTATATACCCTGACAGGATCTGCTAGAAATTTTTGTGAGGACATACAAGATGGCAATGACTGGAGTTAGCTATTATTTACCCTGGGTTCTCATCACTTTAAGTGATGATGACCTAGCCCATCTGACACCAGCTCTCATGGGCCTAGATCCTTGTCTTGAATTGAGCATCCTGTAGTGTGAGAGTTCTGTCAGGCTGACCTTTGCGCTCTCACTGCTCAGCTATCCTTCTGACCTGGACCTGGTATTTTCAGTACATGCATACATGCAGAGCTTTTCAGTACATGCATACATGCAGAGAAAGCTATAGCTTTGAGAGCCACCCATAAGAGATAGGGAATAATTAATTCTAAGTGTCAATGCATGAACATCCAAGAGTAGAGTATCTCATTTGACTGGAATGTCGGAAGAGAGTGGACCACTGTAATAATTTTCCATTCAAGAACTATGTGGGGCAAGAATGTTAGAATGTGCTTGATGCGTTTGGAAGAGAGGATCTTAGAGCATTGAGAGAAAGGGGAAAGAGGTGCATATCATATTCAAGATTAGTGACTGGAGTGGCATCACTGTGCTGAAAATCAGTACACTGGAGAAGTGGGTCCACTCTTCAGTCCCTTCTTCCAGAGAGTTGACAATGACCTGGACACAGCCTCAGTCACTCTCTCCTCCTCTTTTCTAGTCTCTGGACTAAGAGATCAAAGCATAGAACAGACAAACACACACTAGTGCCCAGAGAGACAAAGATGAGGGTGAAGGTGGACCAGAAAGACAACTTCTACTACCATGTCTCAGTCTAAACCCATCTAAACCTAACCAGCTTCAGGGTAAAGGGAGCATCACAGCACTAAGTGTGTAAGCAAAAGTTAAGAGTAAAGTGATTTTTGCCACCTTTCTTTGTGCTGGCATTGCACATGGGGAGCTTGTAAATAACTAGAAAGGAACAAGTGGATAACTTGCTCAGATGCTAACCAAGGGTTAATGATTCAGGTCCAAAGAAGTTCATAGGAAGAGAAGTCTGGCTATCTACTTCTTAAAATTTAGCCATTGAAAACCCTATGGACCACAAACATTTGGCTTAATGGTTTAGCCATTGTTGTTGTTGCTAAGTGCCGTCAATCAGTTCAGACTCATAGAAACCCTGTGTAGTGTTTCCAAGGATGTAAATCTTTGAGGGAGCAGAAAGCCTCATCTCTCTTCCGCAGAACAGCTGGTGAGCTTGAACCGCTGAACTTAGGGTTCGCAGTCGGTGTTTGTCCTACAGAGCCACTGTACTCCCTGGTTTAGCCATAAACCACATTGTTTCTAGTAGATTCCCGCATGTAAAACAAAGATAACATGACGCAAGTGGATCTAGCCTTGCAGCATATTCATTTTAAGTGAATAAAATAAAAGATGATTTAACAAAATATGTCACCTGGTAATTATAAAGTCTTGAGCCATATTCTGCAATTACAGCATACAATTGTCTGGATTTGTGAGAAAAATCTGTGTCTTTAAGCCACTCATAACTTTGAAGTCCTGTTAAAGGAAACAACTGTGAATTAAAGTTTAGCTGTCAGCTGGAAACATGATTCTAAAACATTTTATGCGTATTTAACAGGAATTTTTCTAAGCAAAAAGGTTATATACAATCTTTAAAAAAAGAAGAAAAAATTAGACTCTTGTTTAATTCCACTAAAAAGAAAAGTCCATATCAGTGGAGTATCAAGCAGTTTGGCACATTGATTGGCAAGTTGGCAAGCTTACACCTGGAAAAAACAAAGAGAAATTTGCATGCATTTAAAATACATACATATAAATATGTTGTTGTTGTTAAGTCGGTTCTGTCTCAGAGCAACCCAATGCAAAACAGAATGAAACACTGCTTGACTCTTATGCTTGAGCGCAATGTTGCTGCCACTGCGTCAATCCTCCTCACTGGGGTCTTCCTTTTTCACCGACCCTCCACTTTTCCAAACATGATGCCCTTTTTTCCAGGGACTGGTCCCTCCTGACAACATGTCTAAAATATGAGCAATGATGTCTCACCATCACTGCTTCAAAGGGGCAACCTGACTATACTTTTTCCAAAACAGATGTATGTGTTCATCTGGCAGTCCATGGAGCTTTCAAAATTCTTCTTCAACACCATAATTCAAATACATTGGTTCTTCTCAGATCTCCCTTATTCATTGTTAACTATCACAGGCATATGAGGCAACTGAAAATATCATGACTTGGGTCAGGCACACCTTACTCTTCAAAGTGATATCATAGCTCTTTAACACTTTAAAGAGGTCTTTTGCAGTAAATTTGCTTAATACAGTATGTCATTTGATTTCTTGACTGCTGTTTCCATGAATGTTGATTTTGGGTGCAAGCAAAGTGAAGTCTTTTCTCCATTTATCATGATGTTGTGAAGATTTCTTTCTGGTATTCTCTGCTTTCAGGCAAGATGTATCTGATATTAGCAATTAAATCCCTAGTTCCACATCCTCTTCTGAAACTAGCTTGAATTTCTTGCAGCTCCCTTGATTTACTATAGCAATAGTTTTTAAATTATCTTCAACAAAATTTTGCTTGCATGTGACATTAATGATATGGTTTGATGATTTCCACATTCCACTGAGTCACCTCTCTTTGGAATGGGCACAAATATGGATCTCTTCCAATCAGTAAATGGTCAGGTAGTTTTCTTCCAAATTTCTTGGCATAGATGAGTGAGTACCTTCTGTGCTGCATTAGTTTGTTGAAACATTTCAGTTTGTATTCCATTAATTCCTAGAGCCTTGTTTGTCACTAATACATATCATCTTCAGTGAAGATTATTAATGATATGCTACCTCTAGAAATGATTGAACATCAACCAGTTCTTTTTGGTACAATGACTCTGTGTTATTCTTCCATCTTTTTTTGATGCTTCCTGCTTCAGTCAATATTTTGCCCATAGAATCCTTCAGTATCACAAGTCTAGGCTTGAATTTGTCTTCAGTTTGTTCACCTTGAGAAATGCTGAGCATGGTCTTCCCTTTTGAGTTTCTAACTCTAACTCTTTGAACATTTCATTACAATATGTTACGTTGTCTTCTCAAACTGACTTTTGAAAATTTCTGTTTAGCTTTTACTTCATTATTTCATTAATTCTTGTAGCTACTATGCATTTTCTAGATTCAAGAGCAAATTTTAGCATGTCTTCTGACACTTTTATCTTTTCTTTCTTTTCAATTACCTACTGCTTCCTTCATGATGTTCTTGATATCATCCTACAACTCTTTTGGTCTTTGACCATTAGGGTCTAAGTATCAAGTCTCTCCTTGAGATAGTCTCTAAATTCAGGTGGGATATATTCAAGAAGCTCTGGTAGCGTAGTGGTTACGAGTCGGGCTGCTAACCTCCAGGTTAGCAGTTCAAAACTATCAGTCATCTGCTGCAGGACAAAGATGAGGTTTTCTGCTCCTGTAAAGATTTACAGCTTCGAAACCCTATACAGGGTTGCTACGAGTCGGAACTGACACCACAGCACACTACCACTACCACCTACTGTACTCAAGGTCATATTTTAGTTCTCGTTAACTTGTTTTTATTTTCTCCACCATCAGCCTAAACTCGCATATGAGCAATTGATGGTCATTTCCACAGTCGGCCCCAGGCCTTGTTTTGGCTGATAATACTGAGCTTCTCCATGATCTCTTTCCATAGATGTAGTCAATGTGATTCCTCCATCTGGTGAGGTCCATGTGTATAATCACCTTTTATGTTGTTTTAAAAAGGTATTTGCAATAAATAAGTCATAGGTCTTGCAAAATTCTATCATGTGATCTCAGTATAATTTCTATTATCAAGACCTTGTTTTCCAACTACCGATCCTTCCTCTTTGTTTCCAACTTTCACATTCTAATCATCATTTTGACTGCACGGTTGATTAATTTCAGACTGAAGAAATTGGTAGAATTCATCAATTTTGTGGTGGTTGTGTAAATATGGATAATAGTGGCATTAACTGGTCTTTCTTGAAGGTGTATGGACATGATCCTATCACAGACAGTATTGTACTTTAAGACAGAACTTGAAATGCTCTACATGACAATGAATATGATGTCATTCCTGGCATGGTAAATCGTAAGACTGATTCATAATGGCCAATAATCGTTCATTTCAGCTCACTAATGTGTGGGATATCAATCTTTATGTGTTCCGTTACATTTTGAATGACTTCCAATTTTCCTAGGTTCATAGTTTGTACATTCTACATTCTGATTATTAATGGATGTTTGCAGCTGTTTTTCTTATTTTGAGTTGTACCCCATTAGCAAATGCAGGTCCCAGAAGCTTTGCTCCATCCACATCATTAAGGTCAGCCTTACTTTGAGGAAGTAGCTCTTTCCCAGTCGTATTTTGAATGCCGTCCAGTCTGAGGGGCTCATATTCCAGCACTGTATCAGAGAGTGTTTCACTGCTATTCATAAGGTTTTAAGTGGCTAACCATTCAGAAGTGGTTTGCCTCTCCTTCCAAGTCTGGGTTAGTTTGAAAGCTCCCCTGAAACATGTCTACCATGGGTAATCCTGCTGCTATAGAAAATACTGGTGGCAAAGCTTCTAGCATCACAGCCACACACATGCCACCACAGAACAACAAACTGACAGACAAGTGAAAAATATACAGATTTCCATCTTAAAATATGTCAAGGACCTTTGGATTAAAATTTCCAAAATAAGTAATCCCAGTTCCCAGTGTGTGTTTTCACGCAGGCACTGAAGTGGAGCTTCTTGAACTCTTGTGCACAGGTCTGGGATAGTATAGGATGGAAATTTCAGCCAGAAGAGTCTGAGACCAAGCAGTAGGCAAATGGGAAGTGCAGATGGTAACAAAGATGAAGTCCAGATGCAGAGAGGAGTTGAACAATGCACATTTCTCATCATAAACCACAATGTTTAGGGTCAGAGACCTGGTGTGGCACTGCAAAACAATGCACTGGACCACAAGGTTGATTTGAACCAGAAGGTTGGTGATTCAAACCAGGTGATCCCTGGAAACCCTATGCAGGGTCGGTATGAGTCGAACCTGACTCAACAGCACTTAATAACAACAACAACATGATCCACTTAGTGAGATAGGCACTCCTGGTCCATCCAGAAGCAACTGGTGGACAAAGTTCAGGCCCTCACTTAGGTCAGTAGTTGGGATAGGGAGTGGTTCTGAAATACACTTGCTATCACAAAGGAATACTACCCAATGCCCTGTCACTTCATAAAATACTATTTCATAGCAATCACTGGATTATAATGGATTATAATGAAAAGTTTATGTTTCAAGTTGTCACTATATTAAATAGAAATTTTCAAGCATAAAAGGGGTTTGTGCTACTGGAATACTTCGACTTTCATGTTCAGTTTTAATATCGTCAGGAACCGTGTGAAGAGCAAGAGCCTTGTGTTGTCATAGTCTCCCAAACGAAGTCACTCCAACCTCGAAAAAGAGACTTGTGTGATGTGTTTGTAATAAAATATATGAAGTCTTCCTAACTGTGAAGCAACTTTTGTAAACCTAAATTATCATTTTAGCAGGAAAAAAATAAGCAGTTTCTAAATTCTCTTTTGTTGTCATTGTTAAGTGCCATCGAATCATCTCCGCCTCATAGTTATACTGTATAGTTTTCAAAGCTTTAAATCTTTATGGGAGTAGAATGCTTGATCTTTCTCCCACAGAGCACTGGTGGGACTCAATTGCTGACCTTTTGGGTTGAAGTCCAGTGCTTACAGAATGGAGCTACTACGTTCCCCCAAATATCTACAGAGGCTTATATTACTTATATAATGTTAGATATAAGACAAAAAAATGTATACTTCAAGTTATTCCATTGAGATCTTTCTTATTACCCAAAAATATACTATAAAATGGCTTTAAAGATAATAATTTAGTAAGGCTTACCTATAAGAATGAAAATCAATATAAACACACTTATGAAAATCTTCCGTGATCTAATTACCCTAAAAAAAGAAATAAAAAAAATATATATATATATCTCAATACAACACACACATTAACTTTAAATATGGACTTAAAACTTATCACTATAACCATTTCAACAAACAATTTCTTGGTTATTAGAGACTCTGTCTGTGGCTTAGTTAAATTCATAACCTGGTATCTTTCATTATCTTTGAAATTGAGAGAAAGTGTTTGGGGTGTGTCTGTGTGCGTAATCTTCCCCATCTACACAGACATAACTATTATGCTGTTTGTGTCTATAAATGTGTCTTCAAAACTTATATGAAGAAACCTATGGAGATTGTCGTAGAGGTCTAGTATGGAAGATGAGCTAAAAAGAGAAAGAAAGAAACTCAATCTGATTTTATAGAAATTTGGTATTATGCTAAAATAAAAACCTATGACAATTAAGTATCTGATAGAATTATTTTAAGTATTCATAATCTCCCCCCTATTTTTAATTAAGTCATAATATACATATAGAAAGATGTAACCCTACCCAGAGAATCAGTGATGCCTGAGATGGAGGCAGAGACGATGATGTGAAGCGATAGAGCAGCTGGGGACTTTAGATCCAGAGAGGGAGAGCGACTGTGTGCTGAAGACTGGGGGTGGGCGGTGGGGAGTAGTGTAAGGGGCAGGTTTATAGGGTATACCCTTTGGTTGGTTGATGATGCATGGAGGGGATTGTAACCATGGCAATGAAACGATATACAATAGAATGAATGTAAAACTAATGTTCTCCCATGTAAACTATCATATAATTCACAATACAACATTAAAAAAAAAAAATATATATATATATATAGAGAGAGAGAGAGAGAGAGAGAGAGAGAAAAGTGCAGAAATCAGAATTGTGCCGTTCCACGAGTCTTCACAGAATGAACCTATCAATGCAATTTCACCCAGAGTAAGACACAGAGCATTCTCAGCCCATCAAAAGCCCCTCTTGAGCTTCCATCAGAACCTATACCTCCCACCTGCCTCACGCTCTCAGCTTCATCCCATCCATTAGAATGATTGATTTGAACCGTATATAATGACATCATATATGTGTGCATCCCATCTGTCTGCTTTCTGCAAGCATTATATTTGTGGAAGTCACCTGTGCTCCTGTGTGTGACTGTAGTTCAGTATTCTCATACGCTACATAGTCCCTGAACTGCTAACTACAAGGTCTACAGTCTGAGTGCACAAGCCATGCCACAGAGAAAGATGAGGCTTTCTGTTCCTGCAAATATCAGAAACGCTTTACAGAGCTGCTATGAGTCTAAACCGATTCCATGGCACTTAGCAACACCACAGCCTAGTGTGAGAATACTCTACAGGGGCGTTCATTCTAGTGTTGATGGACATTTGAGGGTTTTCTAGTTTAGGCTTATGACAAACAATGCTGTCATAAATGTTCTTATAGACAATACTGGTAAGAACACTCTTATACGTTGTGACTTTTGAGGGATACATGTATAGATTTCATTTAGATATATTTTCAAAAGTAAAATTGATGTACTATAGACCTTGTGTATGTTCAGCATTATAAAATTTTGTCAAACTGTTTTCCAAATTGGTTATGATGTTGTTGTTAAGTGCCGTGGAGTTGGTTCCGACTCATAGTGACCCTGTACAGGGTTTCTGAGGCTGTAAATCTTTACGGGAGCAGAAAGCCTCATCTTTCTCCGGCGGAACAGCTGGTCGTTTTGAACTGCTGACCTTGTTGTTTGCAGCCCGATTCGTATCCACTACGCTACCAGAGCTCTTCACATCCATCTTTTGACAAGTCCAAAATTGGGGTAAGGAGAAAAGATGAAAACCTACAAAGTCCTTGGAAATGTCTTTATTCTACTTCTGGATCTGGTTCTGGTTTTATTTTGGTTTACTGTGGTGGGATAGAAACCACTGTGTTATATCCTCTGAGAGACTGGTGTTCTAGTAGAGCCTCTGTGAGTGTATTCCTGAGGTGTTGAAGCCCAAGAATGAGCTAGTGTTCTGGTTTAATCTAGGTTTAATTAAGTGTGCATGATAATATAACTGGATAAGCATCCTAGATGCATTCAAATGGACAGTTTTTTAGTTATCATCCACAATATCAACTGGGTTAATAATACTAAAGGGTTAACGTATATTAAAAAAAACTGGGTTTCCTATGTTTTCAAAATGTGTTGAAGGCATTATTGAATGGGAGACGTGTTCGACTCTCCTTTTACTAAAAATTCATGTTGCCGTCTCCTCTTAAGTTTTTGCCTAATATTGGACAGCAGGCACTTAGTGTACAGTCATAATTTTATTAAATTGAGTTTTGGTCATTAAACATCATCACTTTTTTCTTTGGAATTTAATAGCACAAAAGTCTGTGGGTTTCCATAAAGCTGAATTCAGATATTAATATAAAAATGATTGTTCCAAAACTGTTTGTTACATGGTATGTCTAAAATTTTTCAGATAAATAATGTTAATCCTTTGTATTTCTATTTATCTCTGTTTAAAGTTTTTTTGTTTTTTAATGACTTTATTTAGACTATTAAAGGGCATTATTATTACAGGCTAACTGTTGCCTTACTGGGTTTTGTCACCTTCAGTTGAAAAGCAGGCGACAGTCATGTGCAGAGCCAGGCTGACTTCTAAGTAGCAACCTCCATAAAACCAAGTTCCTGATTTGGTTAGCACAAGAACAAAGCACACTCATCTTAAAAACAAAAACACTGAGTAGTTTCAGGACCATCCCCTTAGAAGAATACTTTCCAAAGGTTAATTTTCAATAAGAAAGAAAGAAAAGCTTGAATGGATATGTATTTTATATCTCAGTCTTAAGCAGGTATTAAATCGAAGTTAGAAAAGGTAGCGGTAGGGTCCCAGACTTCACTCTCACTACTGATGGAGGAAACTTTGAGGTCTTTAACAACAGGGATCTGACATCCAAAAATAAAATGAAAAGGCCCAACTGTTGGTTGCGGCACTCCAAGGCCTACCTATGAGGCCCATACAACACCCAGAACGCATTTCTTCATCAGCCAGTGACTACTGAGCCAGTCCAAAAGGAAAGGCCCCTGGAAGATGTAGTGTCCTGAACATCCTAAAGCAGGGTGCCTAGCTGACTTCCTCCAGAGGCTAGCATGAAGAGGCCATAATGGTTGATGACCCTTTCCTCAGAGGAAGGGCGGCCCTTCTGACAGGGCTCAGAGATAAAACATCGTGATATCCATGGCAGAAACTTGGGTTACTCTTGATGGGAATGTAAGGAGACTGAATTTTTATTAGATACAGGAGCTGCCATCTGTTTTCACCCAAAACTCAGGCCTCCTCTCTAGTCATGACTGTAACAGCCATTGGGGTCCATAGAAAGCTCAAGGATACTCAGCCTGAGGAGGACACTCTTATTGAAGGGGCATCAGTATATCTATGAGCCTGAGAAAGGTCCAGAGAGTAATGGTTCATAGGAGGAACAATTCTAGACAGTCTCTTACTTGTCTATTTCTGCTATTCTTAGCCAACATTCACTATTGAGAAGCAATTGTTTCATCCCTGCTGGATTAGGTCTTGATCAGCCAGCACACAGCTTAAGATGGTCAAGACCTTCTTTTTCTATTCCTTAGCCAGCATGGTTATGGACCACCAAATAGTGTTAGACCATTTGCTGGCAGAAGAGAGAAGAGCATTTACCTTGCTCAGCACTTTTTACACCTGTGTTAACACCTCAAGTGAAACGGAGATTAGGACCTTACACATCCTGCAGCAGGAAAGACAGACCAGTCCCAGATGAGCCAGAGTTTATGGAACTAAATCACGAAACCTGGCTCCTACTTTTGTTTCTTTAAGACTGTTGATGGCCATGTTCTTGTTATTAATCTTTGGCCCATGCATTCTCAATTTACTAGTTAGGTTTGTACCTTCAAGATTGCAGCAATTTCACACTAAGCTTACAGTCATGCAAGGTTTCCAACCTATCCCAAAGGAAAGACCTAGGAGGCATACAAAATATCAGAGAAGCCAGTGAGAGATATCGACTCTATTAGATAGGAAATACAACAACCTGATTTATTGTTGTTGTTGTTATGTGCCGTGGAGTTGGTTCTGACTCATAGTGACCCTGCATAGGGTTTCTGAGGCTGTAAATCTTTATGGAAGCAGAAAACCTCATCTTTCTCCAGCGAAACATCTGGTAGTTTTGAACCGCTGGCCTTGCGGCTTGCAGCCCAATTCATAACCACTATGCAAAGAAAAGACACTCCCATCCATGTTCCCATGAAGAATTATGAGTGTGAAATCTCTCAAGGGGGAGGTGAGACAGGGGAGAAAGGAACCAAGAAAATCAGGATTAAACATAAGCCACTTAGTGACTGAAGTCTTGTAACCAAAGTCTTGAGGAAAGTTGCTCTCCTTGTTTGTGTAGTTTTAAAGATGCTCTGGACATGCCCAGTGCAGTGCAAATAGCTGAGCAGTCACATTCTGGGACATACCATTAAGAAAGCCCATCCATAAAAATTCCGTATATTATGGGACTTGCCATTAAGGCAGATCACCCATAAAAATTCTGTATTTTCACTGTCTTGTAAGATGTTTTACAGGTCAAACTAGTTTACCTAGTGCCCTAGGCATAACTTTAAAGGACAAAACTGGGGCAAAGAAGAATGCCAGCCCCTGGTAGGAGCTAGATTTAAGATCCCAAAGAAATACAAGTGCTCAATATCCCCTCCAAAAGTTTTCTGCTTTTGTGGTGTAATCCATCTTGAAGAAATGCTAGACACACACACATGTTGTTGTTGTTGTTAAGTGCCATTGAGCTGGTTCTGAACCATAGTGATCCTGTATAGGATTTCTGAGGAGCAGCTGGTAAGCTTGAACCACTGACCTTGCTGTTCAAACTGACTTTTCAGTCTAGCGCATTAACCCACAGCGCCATACCGGGACTCAATTATGAGCAAGGTCCCTCCTAAATGATCCATTTCCCAGAAATCCCAGCTTATCCCTACAAATAAACATGATGTCTTTTCCCTA